AAGTAAGTAAGTAAGTAAGTAAGTAAGTAAGTAAGTAAGTAAGTAAGTAAGTAAGTAAGTAAGTAAGTAAGTAAGTAAGTAAGTAAGTAAGTAAGTAAGTAAGTAAGTAAGTAAGTAAGTAAGTAAGTAAGTAAGTAAGTAAGTAAGTAAGTAAGTAAGTAAGTAAGTAAGTAAGTAAGTAAGTAAGTAAGTAAGTAAGTAAGTAAGTAAGTAAGTAAGTAAGTAAGTAAGTAAGTAAGTAAGTAAGTAAGTAAGTAAGTAAGTAAGTAAGTAAGTAAGTAAGTAAGTAAGTAAGTAAGTAAGTAAGTAAGTAAGTAAGTAAGTAAGTAAGTAAGTAAGTAAGTAAGTAAGTAAGTAAGTAAGTAAGTAAGTAAGTAAGTAAGTAAGTAAGTAAGTAAGTAAGTAAGTAAGTAAGTAAGTAAGTAAGTAAGTAAGTAAGTAAGTAAGTAAGTAAGTAAGTAAGTACTGGTTTAAGATAATCATAAAATTCGGCTAACAAGTTGCAAATAAGACAAAACACTAATCTTGGATGCTATTGATAGCCAATAATCGTTTTATTCTATAAAGATTATTGTCTTAGATTGATCTTACCACATGCTTTTTACAGAATTAATCTAATACGCCGTGTTTTAATACATCAGTTTAGGGCAATTCACATTGCCAATTTCGTTTTGTAAATCACGTTTAATTATTCATTTATCAATCTTTGGAAGGTCTAAGAGTTATAAGTTTATTTTCCTATGACCTTATAGTTTCATACTTTGACCGAAGAGTTATAGACTAGGACGAAACAGATGTCAGATATTTTCTGTTTTTCAGTAGTTGTTCGATTCAAGGAAACCAAAGATTTATAACTTCTAAATCATGTATAAGCACAGGTGGATAGTAGCTGGCAGGGGAATCCAGGACGTCCGTTTCGCTCTATTTGGGACAACACCAAGTGAATTCTAAATCATTTATTCACTTATTTATTTATTTACACACATAAACATTGGTAGGGGGAGAGACCAAATAGATATGAACCACACAAATCATTCGATATGTATGAGGACTGAGATATCGCCTGTGTGACTAGATCGAAGATGGTGGTCTTCTTGGGTGGGGGGGGGTCACACCCGTAGCCTTTGACCTAAAGGTGTAATCTACAAGAGAGTGCATTAACGTTAAGAAATGCAGTCCCATGGTAGCCGGTGACCAACAATTGGTTTATACTCCACTTTTTCCTTCATGATCCAGGATCCCATGTACACCATTGGTTTGTAATCGGGATTTCCCATTCACCCCTAAAGCAGATACATCATACTGACCTACTTCTAAATCATATTACTGTCATATATTAATTATTATTAATGATAAAATTACACGTTAATTGTTAGTCTAAAACTTATTCACAGATAAGTCGTTGTCATTTGGATATGTGATTAAGAAAAAACAATGATATTTACTTAAAATATACAAAATATTGTAATGAATTTCCCTTAATGTACGTTTTAATTGTATTAAGTTAGGAGGAAATATGTAAGGATGTTTTGATTATGTGAAATATTAAATATTGGACTTGGACTAAAACATTCATCCAATGCTGTCTTTAAATTGAGTAATGTATATGTCATGGAGAATGCTTGTGAGCGGCCTATGCTCCTTCACAAAGAGGTAACAAGTGTAAGTAAGTGAGTGATTAAGTACGGGAAGTAAGTAATTAAGTAAGTGTCGAAGTAAGTAAGTGCTGAAGTAAAGAAATAAATAAGTAAGTAAGTAAGTAAGTAAGTAAGTAAGCAAGTAAGTAAGTAAGTAAGTAAGTAGGTAGGTAGGTAAGTAAGTAAGTAAGGAAGGAAGGAAGGAAGTGAGTAGGTAGGTAGGTAAATAAGTAAGTAAGTAAGTAAGGAAGGAAGGAAGGAAGGAAGGAAGTGAGTAAGTAAGTAAGTAAGTGTTGAAGTAAGTGAGTAAGTAAGTAAGTAAGTGAGTGAGTAAGTATGTAAGTAAGTAAGTATGTAAGTAAGTAAGTCAGTAGGTAGGTAGGTAAGTAAGTAAGTATGTAAGTAGGTTAATAAATAAGTAAGTAATTAAGTGTTGAAGTAAGTGAGTAAGTAAGTAAGTAAGTAGGTGAGTAAGTAAGTGTTGAAGTGTGTAAGTGTTGAAGTAAGTAAGTATGTATGTAAGTAAGTAAGTAAGTAGGTAGGTAGGTAAGTATTAAGTAAGTAAGGAAGGAAGGAAGGAAGTGAGTAGGTAGGTAGGTAAATAAGTAAGTAAGTAAGTAAGGAAGGAAGGAAGGAAGGAAGGAAGGAAGGAAGTGAGTAAGTAAGTAATAAGTGAGTGAGTAAGTATGTAAGTAAGTAAGTATGTAAGTAAGTAAGTCAGTAGGTAGGTAGGTAAGTAAGTAAGTATGTAAGTAGGTTAATAAATAAGTAAGTAAGTAAGTGTTGAAGTAAGTGAGTAAGTAAGTAAGTAAGTAGGTGAGTAAGTAAGTGTTGAAGTGTGTAAGTGTTGAAGTAAGTAAGTAAGTAAGTATGTATGTAAGTAAGTAGGTAGGTAGGTAAGTAAGTAAGTAAGGAAGGAAGGAAGTGAGTAAGTAAGTGAGCAAGTAAGTAAGTAAGTAAGTAAGTAGGTAGGTAGGTAGGTAAGTAAGTAAGTAAGTGTTGAAGTAAGTAAGTAAGTAAGTAAGTAAGTACGTAAGCAGGTAAGTAAGTCAGTAAGTAAGTAATTAAGTAAGGAAGTAAGTGAGTAAGCAAGTGTTGAAGTAAGTTAGTAAGTAAGTAATTAGGTAGGTAGTTAAGTAAGTAAGTGAGCAAGTAAGTAAGTAAGTAATTAAGTAGGTAAGTATGTAAGTAAGTAATTAAGTAAGTTTGCAAGTAAGTATGTACGTAAGTAAGTAATATACCATGTTATGTATTGTGAAACCTTTTTAATTTTCTTCACATATGTTGATTTCTGTATTCTTGTATCATGGTTCAGAATATGGGAAATATGTTACATCGTTAAATTCAATGTTTCTTTTTAGATTTCATAGTATTGCCAATATAACGGTTCCCTATGGAAGTGTTACAGTCGGAGGTTCTACTAAATGTGTTCGGTGTTTTTTCAACATGTGGGTCAAGCAGACAGTTGTAGATAACTGGATCTTTGAAATCATTATGAATGCACTTAATCCAGGTTATAAAGCAAAACCAAACAAAAGAGCGTAAGTAAATAATGGGCTTAGTAGACGATAATTGTTAGTTAAAACAAACAAATGTATGGGGCAGAAACCTGGAGAACTACGAAAGCCATCATCCAGAAAATACAGGTGTTTATTAACAGTTGTCTACGCAAAATACTTCAGATCCGTTGGCCGGACACTATTAGCAACAACGTACAAACCAGATCCCAGTGGAGGAAGAAATCAGTAAGAAGCTTTGGAAGTGGATAGGACACACATTGAGGAAAGCACCCAACTACGACACAAGGCAAGCCCTCACATGGAATTCTGAAGGCCAAAGGAAAAGAGGAAGACCAAATAAGAACACATTACACCGAGAGATGGAGACAGACATGAGAAAAATGAACAAGAATTGGATGGAATTAGAAAAGAAGGCGGAGGACAGAGTGGGTTGTACAATGCTGGTCGGCGGTCTATTCTCAATTAAGAGTAACAGGCGTAAGTAAGTAAGTAAAACAAACAAAAAATGTAACATGATAACATGGAAATTTAACTGTTTTGTTAAGTTAGATACTTAAATATATTTCAATTTATTGCATTAGAAGGAGTTTTGTGGAGATTTTAATTAGTTCAATAGTTGGATTCATAAGTCAATTGAAACTAGACTATCATGAAAAACTTGGAAGCACTGGATGATTGTTCCGTCCTAGTACAGCGCTCCTCAATAGTTTGCATTCATGATCCCGCATCACGAATTTCGAACCCAGGATCAATCAGTCTCATGTGCGAATACTTAACCTTTAAACCACTAAGCCAACTGGCATCTAGCGGGGCGGAATCATAGATGCACACTACTGAGGAGTCCCATACCAAGACGAAGCAGCCGTCCAGTACTTTCAGGTTTTCCATAGTGATCTAGCTTTAATTCACCCATAAATTCTTTTTAATGAATTAAGTTGAGTTTTCTAAACAAAATAAAACTTAAATATTCAAGAAACAGAATATATTTGTAAAATTTCAGTGTTCCTATGATCATAAGGAAAACTAATTAATTTCTCGGGGTGAGGTGAAGGTGGGCTGTTGTGCGAGGAAACAATTCATATTTTATGAAATTCGCAAATCCAAGATTTCTTATTTAATGTCTTAATGGGTGTATCCCACTTATTAAAAAAATTCCAAGGACCCTTCTTCATTAAAGGAACTTAGTGGGTTTCTGTGTTATTCTGTCAAACTTTCGAAAGTGAATGTGAAGGTTACGTTTCTTAAAGATTGCGTTAAAATGCACAAATATGCTACAGCTTTGAAAATGAATTCGATGAAAAGAGAACTCTTCACTGAACTAATCTTTTTATTTAATTCAAGATTTCACTTGACAATCTAGTTCAAGCTTAATTTTAAACGGATTCCTCATAATAAAAGATAATAACACATTGGTTCGACATAGATCAATATGATCATAATCTCAATGGTTAAGATCATGAGTCAGTTGAAGCTAGACCACCATGGAAAACCTGGAAACACTGGACGGCCATTTCATCCTATTGTGGGACTCCTCAGCAGTGCACATCCACGACCTCGCCCCCTGCGAGATTCTAACTCAGGACCTACTGGTTTCGCGCCCAGGCACTTAACCACTAGACCACTGAGCCGGGTGAGGTCGTGGATGCGCACTGCTGAGGAGTCCCACAATAGGACGAAACGGCCGTCCGGTGTTTCCAGGTTTTCCATGGTGGTCTAGCTTCAACTGACTCATGATCTTAACCATTGAAATTACTACAATCTCCACACAAAACCCATCTGATAATAATCATAATCATCATCATCATCATCATAATAATCATCTACATATAAATAGCACACTTACCATAATTCATTTGATAATTGACAATTTAAATTGATCTCTTCAAGTAATGGAAGCATTCTTATTCATAAGCAATTAATCTATTTATTATGTAATCAAGGATTATAATAAGTTTCAATGGATATAATATGAGGAAGGAATAATAGATTATACTGTTATATTACACATAGATAGATATTCCAATATATTCGTATATTCGTCGTTGCATATGAATAATGAAATATATCACAATCAAACTATGTGTACAGCAACAACAATAACAATAACAAAACGACGTTGACTATTATTACCAATCACTGTGAATGCAAATTAGACTTATATATTTATTGTATCTAACAGTAAAATTGATTTTCTGTGACCATTTTTTATACTTTGTGATATTGGTTACCCGCTTATCACGTAATAGTAATAATAATAATAATCATAATAATAATCCATAATACAATCAGTTATATGTGGGTGCCTAAAAAGAGAGAAAAAAATATCACCTGATTTATTCACTAACTCATTCAAGGAGAGAACGAGCGAGAGAGACAGAAAGACATAACATAACAACAACGAAAAATCACTTGTTTCTGGTTGCCAAGTCAATAATAGCACAATACTTTAAATGTTTTACTCCTTTCTTTTGTATACCAATATATGACTTGTATGTTGAGAATAATCATATATAATTGGTTGAAATTTCTATGAACCAATCACTAGTTAAGAAAAACTTTCTGCAAATATACAGGGACACCAATGTCATAATCATTGTAAATGTGTTAAAATTAAAAATACAATAGGGCGTAGTCATGAGTCATAATGCATTCAATTGAGTAAATAATACCATATCTGTATATATAATTCAGTTATAACTTGACTTCATACAGTCAATATATGAGTAATATAATAAATAATAAAAAAAAGGAACAAGTAGAATTGGGTCTTATTTCTACTATGACTAATGTTATTATGAAGTGTTACTATGGTCATTAGGAAAGAAATTGATTTTTCGGGGTGGGGGTGGGGTGGGGTGGGGTGGGGTGGGGTGGGAGGAAACACTTCACATTTTATTAAATTGGTAAACACCCAGAACCTATAAAAAGAATATATATATATATATATGTATATAGTTGGAATTGGATGAATGTAAATTGTATTTGGCAGTAAACATTTGGTAGGAGAATAAAAGAAAATCAATAATTTCATAATGAGTAAACTTTTATTCATGAAAATTTCAATGAGACTATAAATTATGGACGATCTTTAAGAGATGCTATGATGATCTTGAGAGTGTCCACCTAATAACTAGGACTAAATAAGGGTTATAAACCAGTGTGATAACTTAGTCGATAGGATTTGATCTGTACTAAAAAGGATATGATATACATGATATTGATCACTAGGTGGTGATCATTGTCATGTGTATCGACTACCTCCAACCACCAGTCACCTAGACTAGAGGCTACATTGCAACTTGATCAACAGCATTCGATCTGCACTAATAAGGACTTGACACACATGACATTGATCACCACTCAAGGATCATTCAATTGTGATTACATCTCAGTCCTAAAGGAGGTCACTCGTGGACCGGATAGCTCAGTGGTATCATCTCTGAATGTGAAGCTGGTTGACATGGGATTGAATCCGTCGGGGAACATTAGTTCTCTCAAGATAACGAGTGCAACTTGCTGACGAGGGCCAAGTCACACGAAACCACAGGTCTAGGGTTTCCCATCGACTGCCTCTAACCTTCATCTTATTTTTCCATTAGCGACTAGCTTAAAAATTAAAAAAACAACAACATGTAACTGGAATTTGTATTGTAGAGTCTGTTTAAGGAGCCTATAAATTCAACAAATAACAAATTCTTCTACTAATTAAGTTTAATCCACTGAATTACTGAGTTCTGTTAGTCGTTTCACGACTATAATGAGCAACGATTTGATTGATCTCATTATTGATACTTACTTACTTACTTACTTACTTACTTACTTACTTACTTACTTACTTACGCCTGTTACTCCTCGTGAAGGAGCATAGGCCGCTCACCAGCATTCTCCATACAACCCTGTCCTGGGCAATCCTTTCCAGATCCTTCCAGTTGTTACTCATCCTTTTCATATCTGCTTCTATTATCCGACGTAATGTGCTCTTAGGTCTTCCTCTTTTCCGCTTCCCTTCAGGATTCCAAGTTAGGGCTTGTCTCGTGATTCAGTTTGACGATTTGCGTAGTGTATGTCCTATCCATTTCCATCGTCTTTTCCAAATTTTCCCTTCAGCTGGAAGCTGGTTTGTTCTCTCTCATAAAAGGCTGTTGCTGATGGTATCCGACCAATTGATGTTGAGTATCTTGCGAAGACAGCTATTTATAAATACTTGTACCTTCTTGATGGTGGTTGTTGTAGTTCTCCAAGTTTCAGCTCCATACAGTAGAACTGCCTTGACATTCGTATTGAAGATTGTGACTTTGATATTGATTGAAAATTGTTTTGAGTTCCATATGTTCTTCAATCGTAGGAATGCTGTCCTTGCTTTGCCAATCCTTGCCTTTACGTCTGCATCTGAGCCTCCTTGCTCATCGATGATGCTTCCCAGGTATGTGAAGGATTCTACATCTTTCAGAGTTTCGCCGTCAAGAGTGATTGGATTGCTGTTCTCCGCTTTGAATTTGAGGACCTTGGTTTTCCCTTTGTGTATGCTGAGGCCTACTGATGCAGAGACTGCTGCTACGCTGGCTGTCTTTGTCTGCATCTGTCCGTGTGTATGCGATAGGAGGGCTAGATCACCTGCGAAGTCCAAATCGTCTAATTGATTTTGAGCTGTCCATTGTATTCCGTGTTTTCCTTCAGGTGTTGAGGTCCTCATAATCCAGTCGACCACCAGGAGAAAAAGGAAGGGAGAGAGTAAACAGCCTTGTCTGACTCCGGCCCTTACTTGGAATGCATCTGTCAGCTGTCCTCCATGCCCGACTTTGCACTGTAGTCCGTCGTATGAGTTCCGGATAATATTGACAATCTTCTCAGGAACTCCGTAGTGTCGAAGAAGTTTCCATAACGTCCTCCTATCCACACATTATTGATACTGAAGAGTAAAATTGTAATAAGTCTTGGTTGACATATATGATTTGACATGTATTATTTATCAATAAATGTCTTAATTCGTTAGCATTTCTTTCCATAACTTTATCGAATTGCTTATTCAACGAATTATTTAATAGCTGAATTCATGAGTCTAGTATAAGACTCCTTAACAGTGCGCATCCACGATCCTGTCTCGCGGGATTCGAACCCAGGACCTATTATTCTTGCAAGTGAACGCTTAACCTCAAGACCACTGCACCGGCATTCAACCGTGTTAATGACTATCTTTAATCAATTCACGAATTATTTGTTAAATCTTAAAATACAAGTTAACCCATCTATGTGCATGGGTAACTGGAAACTTTAATAAATTAACTTCGAATACGTGATGGAATAAACTGACTAATAACTATTTAGTAAGTAATACCTGTAGATTTAATAATATCCAATAGTAAGGTTTAGAAAACATGGTTCATCTCATTGAAGGTTTACCAATTTTAAACGCTTTTGTCCACTTCAATAATTTTCCTGAGGCATTAATATCCTACCAGTCAGTATTACATAATAATGTAGTGAACGGAAACTCAGGTGGGTGAAATTAATTTGCTTAGTTCAAAATTACAGTGTCGTAAATTATGAAAACTATACATTAAATACTTCATTTGTACACCTTTCATCAGTTGTCCTTTATATCCTTCATGATTCTTCCAATTCTGTTTTTAATCCAATACTATTTTGTTTTCTTCAGTTTAGTCTTTTTTTAATCTTCTTTTAATAAGCATCTCAGTCCTCATTGTTATTACATATTGTTACATCTGTCAACATTAGTAGCACACACACGGCTTGTGAGGTTGTTCTACGCGCTGTGCTACTTCCTTCTTTACTGCGATCTGGGTCACTTTGATCGTCAAAGTATCGCGTTCACCGATGCGCTGACCTGCCGGGCCATATGAATCCGATGTCCACCTAGCATCCAACGAACCACTGAATCATCTACATCCGACCACCAATGGCATATTCCGCTGCTTCTCTCCGTCGAAAACAACTGCAAAAACCAACGCCCCCCAGCCAGGACACTCCACTCTATGTCACTTTCTTGCACTAGATCGCCCCAACTAGCACCCTCGGCCTCTATATCCCTGAGTCGGCGTCCAACGATGTTAATGTATAACTTCAATCAATTCACAACACTGTGCGACCATCTTCCATTGTCTTCGGTTGTTAACTGTCTCACACCCGACATGAATCGGTGCCCACGGCTTCTCACTAGAACTCTGAAAATCCCCTCACTAAGGGGTTATGATTTAAATTAGATCACCAGTGAAAACCTAGAAACAATCAACAGGCGTTTCTTCCTACTATGGATTTACTTCATGATTTCAGTGGAGTTCAACAATCTCTACAACCTTTTTTGTAAGCAATGATGGATAGTAGCTAGCAGTGGGATCCAGGACGCGCGTTTCGTCCTATTTGGGACTCGTCATATGCTTACAAGAAGCTTGTGAATTAAGGCAATATCAAGGCATACGCACAATATGCACATATGCCAATAGCAGACTAATCAATTGCAGCCTTAAACCTCAATGGGAAGATACAAGCCAAACAATACTAAATGAATCTCTACAACCGTTTACTGACATTTAAAATAATAATCAAACGGTTAATTTTTACATATCTAGTGACTTACAAAGTGTATTTTATCATAAAATGAATAGAATCCATGAAAATCATTTACAGAAGAGACAAAAGAAAGTGAATACTTTGCCTTGTTTTAAACTTTAAAATGTAGACTATTAGTGACTCTATGTAATGGCAGATGTTTTAATCTAGTGAATTTCAATGAACCACCTGATTACTCTTAAGAATCAATATTACTATTCATAATAACATTAACTTATGTTATGGACTGACCAAAAACTTAGTTATTTATTGGACTATATGAGCAGAAATGTAGTCAAATCCTGTCGTGACTACTTAACCATTATATATATGTATATGCAGATGTAAAGGTGAGGATTGTCAAAGAAAGTGCTGCATTCCTAAAATTGAAGAATATATGGAACTCAAAACAATTGTCAATCAATACCAAAGTGAAATTCTTCAACATGAATGACAAGATAATCCTGCTGTACGGAGCTGAAACTTTAAGAACTATCACAACCATCATCAAAAACCTACAAGTATTTATAATCAACTGTCTACATAAGATACTGAATGTCCGTTGGTCGGATATCAACAACTTACTATGGGAGAGAACAAACTATCTTCCAACTGAAGAGAAGATTAGGAAAAGACCCCAAAGGTGGATAAGAAACACATTACGGAAATAACCAAACTGCATTACGAGACCAGCGCTAACTTGGAATCTTTATGGTAAACGGATAAAAGGAAGACCAAGGAATACACTGCGTCGAGAATTGGAAGCAGACATAAGGATGATGAATAGCAACTTGAAACAATTGCAAAGGTTTATCCGAGACAGAGTTAGATGGAGAATGCTAACGGGTGGCCTATGCT